GATAGATAGATAGATAGATAGATAGATAGATAGATAGATAGATAGATAGATAGATAGATAGATAAACAGACTAGGGCCGTGGTTATCAAACTGTGACCCTATAGTGAGGGAGGGCATATAGGCAACAATATAGGCATCACACGGACAACAAGGTTTAAATGACTCTGAAACGCCTATAGCCTTAGTTTGAGTTTCAGACATTTTAGGTGCAGTTTAGAGGTGCTACACAGTGATTTCTCCAGCTCTTCAAACACTTTTTTTTTATTGAGGGGGGGGAGAGAAAATAATCCCTGGAGTAGCACTCTGCAAACGCGTGCCAAACTCCTTAAAAGTGTTCAAAACACATGTGCAGCAGTGACGTGCGGTACCTTCCATGCCGGGTGAGACATTCCGCCAGCTCTGCTCCCAGCACGCCAAAGCCCCACCCCCAAGCCGGTCACCAAGCTATGTGTGGAGGAGCGAGGGATGAGGAAAGGAGGAGACAGGGAGGAGCCTCCCTGTCCCTCACTTGCTCGTCACTGGTGAGACATGGAGATGTCCTCAAAGTTTTTTTTTTTCTTTTTTTGATTGGACAGCTTGTATCATTGGCGCTTTGCTATTGGTCCACATCATTCACAGAGCTCAGGCCTTTAACACAGAGTAGAGGCTGTTGAGGCTATTGCAGCTCTTGCCTCACTATGTTAGGTTGCACAAGCAGTGGGGAGGCCCGCTGTTGTGCCTGTAATTAACAAGCTGTCAACGGTGTCTCTGCTTCCGCTGTAATTAACAAGCGGCGCTCCGTCCATGACAGGTAAAACAGCGGGGAGGCTTTCCCTGCTCTGTAACCTGTGACAAGCCGCTCTGAATGGAGAAAAAGCTGTCAGCTTCAGTATTATGGACCACCTAGTATTATGGATCAAAAAGCTGTCAGCTTCATACTTGAAGCTGACAGCTTTTTGATCTATAATACTAGGTGAGGCTCTGCCGTTCCTACCTCCCCTAACTGCATGTCCCTTATGTGCAGTGCACATCCATTGACTTGAATGGAGGCATTCGACAAACTTTTCATATTGTAATACCTGTCAAACGTTGCAAGATCAAAATAAATGTGAAGCAATGCAAAGGTGCTGTGTGTACTAAACTCGTTCACTATTCATGTAAAGAACAGGCATTTACTTAGCAATGCATTTAGAACATGAAGCAAATGCCGGTTTTTTATGCCTGTGTGTGAGAGCAGATTCTAGGAGATGCTTGATACATAGGGGGTGATTTACTAACCTAAACACACGCACGCACCAGGTGCGTGTGATTTTTACACAGCAAAGCGTATTTATCAACCAAAAAGTCTCTATAAGCATATTTTCACTAATGCCATATATGGAAAAATCATGCACATGATGCATATATAATGCTGCTTCACAGTTTAGACAAAAATGGTTAGCTCATGCATTTACATTCCTGCATTAATCAGCGCAAGCAACACAATGTAGAGCTAATTTACACAACAACACCTTGCAATTCTTCTGCCGTTCCTACCTCCCCTAACTGCATGTCCCTTATGTGCAGTGCACATCCATTGACTTGAATGGAGGCATTCGACAAACTTTTCATATTGTAATACCTGTCAAACGTTGCAAGATCAAAATAAATGTGAAGCAATGCAAAGGTGCTGTGTGTACTAAACTCGTTCACTATTCATGTAAAGAACAGGCATTTACTTAGCAATGCATTTAGAACATGAAGCAAATGCCGGTTTTTTATGCCTGTGTGTGAGAGCAGATTCTAGGAGATGCTTGATACATAGGGGGTGATTTACTAACCTAAACACACGCACGCACCAGGTGCGTGTGATTTTTACACAGCAAAGCGTATTTATCAACCAAAAAGTCTCTATAAGCATATTTTCACTAATGCCATATATGGAAAAATCATGCACATGATGCATATATAATGCTGCTTCACAGTTTAGACAAAAATGGTTAGCTCATGCATTTACATTCCTGCATTAATCAGCGCAAGCAACACAATGTAGAGCTAATTTACACAACAACACCTTGCAATTCAGGGCAGGGCTTTGCACAGCACACCTGCTGGGTGTGTACACTCTACAAAGGTGTTTAGATTCCACCCATAGATCATGCTGGGAGGGAACACACTAGAGGTGTATACATGTTCGTGGTGTGTTTATAAGGTTAGTAAATCAACCCCTTACTGTATGTCTTGCAGTGCATGCTGAACACACTCATCAACCATAAGTGGTTAAGCAATATATTAGCAGTCTTATACCCAACCAACAACCAGCAAGGTAGCCAGGTTAATTTTTGTTTGTTAAACTCAGATGCCTGTGTTGAATATTTTACATATACAATTTCTGTTTTGTTGATTTGTTGTGTTAAAGGAGAACTATAGGGTTAGGGCTTTTCCCCATAGTTCTCCTAAGTGTAACGGGAGGACACAAACTAGCGTCCTCCCGTCACCCTAAGCTACAGCTCGCGGTCTACTAAGACGCCGCAGCTGAAGCGGATCCCGACAATTATGTCTGAATCCGCCCAGCTGTGTGAGTGACAGCTGGCTCTGCCTATCTAGAGGCAGAGCCAGCTGTACCCGCCCCCCCCTCCGCCGTCCGTTCCACCAGTCAGTGCTGGAAAATCGAAGCGGGTAGGGGGGAATCCAGTCCCTCCCCTGTCACGGCAGAGAGCCGTGACAGGATCGAGAAGTGAGCGAACGCCGGTATGTGTTCCCTCACTTCCCGATCTACTGAGCCGACCTGTGACAGTCTCATTGAAAAGCACTCACCTCATAGTTCTCCTTTAATATATTTTATAACATACAAAGAACAACAGATGCTTTGAAATATTGAACCTCTAATATTTCACAAAAAAACAGCCAGGGTGTATGATGATTTATATCTCTGTCCATTTCATCAGAAATCGAGGCACAGCTTGCTACCTGATTCTGACTCAAGCAGCCAATGGATAAAATGTGAGGTTTCTTAATCTAAAACAATAAGTTTACCAGAACATCAACCACCAACCATTACAGAAGAGCTTAACAGCTTTTTGTGATTGGATATAGAGCTTTAGAAATAAAGCGATCATTTATACAGTCTAACAAGCATATCGTAAAAGTAGCACTGCTATTACCTCCTGTAGGTGACAAGCCGTATGTGAACTTTTTTGCATCTCGTATGTTGTTTGGAGAAACTTTCACAAGTTGATTTTGCTGCCAAACTTTTATTTTGCTGGAAAACCCAATAATGTTGAAATGATCATCGGGTCTTAAGTCCCGAAGAATAGTAAATAAAGCATCTTGCGTCTGCAAAGAAATCATTTGTTATGCAACGTTAAAACATGAGGACATATTTATAGACATTCACCAAACATTCACAGGTGGTTATTCATTCCCTGTCTTTTATAACACATGCACCAGTAAAATTCACCCACACTGAATGTCACATTAACTGCTTTAGAAAAATGTAGTGTCTGGATCTGACACTACAAAACATTGCTGATATTGAATTCAATTGTATGCATTTTAAGGTAGTAGTATTTCAGCTTTTAAAACTGGCATATCTTTAAAACTTGCAAGTTAATGTGAAGCATGGGGCTGCTCTTGTTGTGCAATAAGAGAAGTAATATGTGGATATAAACTGGACAACCTTACTCCCTGGTTGGGTTCTATGTTCAACATATTTGTTTTTGTGTTTTCAGTCCAGCAAGTGTCATAAATCCAAGCACACAACTGTAGATTGTTGGAGATGGTAATTCTACACGACTGCCTTGCTCTGACTTTTTCTTAATCTGCTCAGCTGTCTATTTTTCTCTCTACCCAGCTGCTTTCTTTTCCTTTTGTTTTGGTAATTCGTGTTCTCTTTTTCTTCTTCATGGTCTGTTCTAATTTAATTTCTTACAAAGCCATTTCAGACAGTGATGCTCATTTTCCAACTAAGTTAAACACATTCTCAAAGCCATTCTCCAACATTGTGTTTTGCAGTTGACTGCTACCCAATACTAATGACACTCTTGTCTTCAGCAGAGCATACGCTAAGAAAGATAACTAAGGGCCACAGCGGCTGCTCATGGACAACACTTTGAGATCCAATGAAAACGTACAGCAAATTGCAATCAAATATTCATTAACATCCATCCCGGATCAATTATATTTAGTTCAGGACAGCAGGAAAATCTAGTCATCTGGCTAGTGTAAATTGCTGATTACTATTATGTACAGTGGTGATAAGACTACATCATTGTAGATATTGGAGCATATTATTATAAAAGTATTACACATGTTGTATGTGTTATACATGAATTCCTAAAGCAGCCAGTACGCATAAGATATACAGGTGAAACTCGAATAATTAGAATATCGTGCAAAAGTAATTGCAGTAAGTGCTGCAAAAGGGGCCCAAACCAAGTACTGAGTACATATGCATGCTTGTACTTTTCAGAGGTCCGATATTGTTCTATGTATAATCCTTGTTTTTTTGATTGCATGTAATAATCTACTTTTTTGAGGTTGTGGATTTGGGGTTCTTGGGGTTTTCATGAGCTGTAAGCCATAATCATCACAATTATGACAAATCACGGCTTGAATTATCTTGCTTTGCATGTAATGAGTCTATCTCATATATTAGTTTCACCTTTTAAGTTGCATTAGCGAAATAAATGAACTTTGCACGATATTCTAATTATTCGAGTTTCACCTGTATATCACCCAAATAGGTCAAATTCACTTGGACTTGGAAATGCTTTGATACTTATGGACATTGCACAATCTGTGTAGATTTCGCCTGGAAAACCAGTCTAAAGGAATCAGAAAGGTTGGATCTTCCTACTGATAACTATATTTCCACTGAGATAAATCCTGTACCTCAGATGTCTGCTCAGTGCATACTAGGACACTTAGCTGTTAAAAATGTCTAGGTTTATAAAAATGCTTGGCACAAAATAGTTGCTTGGACATTCTGACCTCCTTCTTATGGCCAGGGACACCTAAAAGAAGAACTCCAGGAAATGTTTTCATTAAGCCTTGCAGTGGGGCTACCCCTGAACCTCAAGGGTTAACTGCTCATTTGTGTCTACCTTATGGAAATATACCCCCAAAGCTCTGAGCTGAGTTCTTCTTAGACCTGTCATTCCAACATGTTTCCCCCTCCTCTGCAGTGGTCTAAGGTCCTGTAAATCATCAACATCTATACACAGTGTATAGATGTGAGGATGCTGAGGAAGATTCCAATGCTGCAGTGAGGGAGAGACAGGCTGGAGAAAGCACTGTGACAGCTGGACAGCTTGGAGTTTTGGGTTAGTATATCATTGTTATTTTAGCACCTAGACACAAATAAGCACTTAACCTTTGCAGAGCGGTAGTAGCCCCGCTGCAACAGTGAAAAATAAAAATTCCTGGAGTTCTTCTTTAAAGTAGACATATCAGGAAAGAATCATTAGGCCTCCCTTTTTTATCTTTCCTTTTGAGAATGCAAGTTGCCTGGCTGGCATGCTCACCCTCTTACTTCAATACTTTGAATCACAAACGCAGAACAAGCCTGCATAAAATGATTTCTCACTTTTATACAACTCTCCTGATCATACATACCTGTTCAGTGACTGTGAACATGTGCTGGGAACTAGTATCTTCTGAAGGAGGTCAGCAATGAAAACCCCCCCTTGTCTTATGAAAGGCTTACTGTAAGATAGTCCTGCACATCACACTGACAGATCAATGATTAGATCTAATAAAAGTATGTAAAACCTGTGATTTTTGGGATGCATGTGGCCCTCTCACTTTTTCTTTTTTTTCTGTGGTTTAGGAATTTGAATTGAATGGAGCCCTCCGCTGTTTTCCAGCTGATAAGCTTGCACTGCCTTCATAATACTGCAGCTGAATACTTCTTAAAATGTTTTAAGGCCCCTTTCTTTGGAATAAAGTGTTGCTATAATATTATAGTGCCATTTTTTTTCTGGAAGTAAGTAGTTGTCTACCCTTACAGATTCATTCTACTGTGTTGGACCCAATGTTATGAGTTTGACTTGCTTGATCTAATATAATATGGCTATTATGCAGCCTTACTACAATTAAAGTGACTAGTATTTAAAGTATATCTAAAGCCATTTTTTATTTTAGATAGAGTAGGCAACAGTTCAGATCCCTGGCATGTTTTTTGCCATGTTTTTCCCTCTCAAGAGATTATCCTTTACTTACTGTTCTGTAAACAGAGCAGGAAGTAAGATGAAATCACCTCCATTTATGCTCTTGTGGAAACTCAAAATTTGGGATTTTCTCTCACTTTCAGTCCTGGTAATAGTGGTTACCAGATCATATAAAGTGATTCTTCCCAATGATGGCAAAAAAACCTGACATGAGTTCTAACCCTTCTACCTAAAACTTAATAATTTTTGGCTTTAGTTACACTTTACTACTGTGTATACCCATTACATTTCCCTTATCTCTAAATGTATAATGTTTCTGCCAAATTTAACAGCTGGAGGCTGATCTGTGCCATAAGTGACCTTTGTAATATAAATGAGACTGTTGTCATTAATGAACAGTGAATATAAACATTACGTCAGTATTATAAGAACAATCTATGAGCAGCCAAACAGTGGCTAGTTTTAGAACATGCCGAACATTTCTAAATGAGTATGTCATATTATATCAGCTCAATTCAGAACTGTTCAGTCTTAAAATTATGCATTTTTCATGTTTACATATTCTGACATGTTGATTACTTTTTGCATAAAAATATTTACCGACTATTAACTATAAAATTCAGTTACTATTTTAAAAAGACCCAGTGAAAAATTTAAATACTTTCATGGTTTTATTTGGTGATTTAGAATTTGTTTCTTTTTTATGAATAAATACTATTATCAATTCACAGAGCCATTCACCCAGGAAACTCTGTGAATGTTCGTTCTGTGCAAATGGTGGAAAAACAAAAATTCTTAGTATAATTCTTCCCATGTCGAATGTAATACTATAAAAATACTGCATTATGGCTACTAGAGGGTGCTGATACATATCTATTGTTTTATCATGTACAGTTTCACAATTCAGACTGCGGAACACAAAAATAACCAACAAACTAAAAGGGTTCTCTATAGAGAATAGTTTATAATAGTGATCATATATCGGACACATTATATTGTTATTAGAGAATACCTATAAAGATTTAGATGCTTATTCATTCAGTGTGAGTAAAGTGGAGGTGGAAAGATATTTTTCGTCTATTG